GATGATGCTACTTCTATCACTGGAGGCCTCTGCCCCTTTGCTGTGCTGGGCAGAGGAGCTTCAAAATGAAGAGACCATGGGATGAATCAAAAGATGTTTCCTACTTTTCAAAAGGCTGGCAAACAAACTGTTAGATACAGCTGGTATCCATTGCTGTCTTCTCTGTTGCAAAAGGAGCTAGTTTTGGGCTTGCTTTCAAAACTCAACACACTGCTATTCCTGCAACGAAATCAGTGCTTTGCCCTGGGGAGACTGAGGCAGCCAGAGTGTAAACTGGGGAGAACTTGAACCGCATAAGCTATGCTGAGCTTGGCCTTAGTTTGGGGTGGTTACATAACACTTAATCCACAAAACTTAATCTCTTTTTCCTATTGTCCTTGTTGTACTACTTGCATCCATGTGTTTCTATTGGAAATTTAAGTGACATAATACCTGCTAAATGGTAGAGAGACAAGGAGGACAGCTGGTGCCCTTTCTGTGAGTGAAAGTTTCCATGTGATGATGCCAGGGAAAGCAAACCACCATGAGGCTTTCGTCCCAAAGCAGAGGTCTAACAAAATGTGGATGTCAGCATTTACCAGAGCAATGCAAACAAAAAGTATTGCCTCTCTCACTGTAAAATGACTTATCTCAGGATGGTGATACTTTGTTGCTGTAGCTCCCTTGAACTACTGATATATAGTCTGGATGATAGTGTAATAGTATGTGAAACTACTGAAATCCTTTAGCGGAGACTATTGATGAGGCAGAGTTCAAAGTGGGAGGTGATGATTTTTATTTGACTGTCTGATACAGCTGGAGAGTACTGAAAAGACTGAAGCTGCACAGTTCGGTCCCTCTTTCTAATCATATAAGTTTCTCAAGGAAGCGATATTCTTTCCCCCATGATATTTTCTCACTGATGGTCTCAGTCCAACAGATTTATAACAATAAAACAGCTGTTAACGATTTCAAAAAGCTTCTCTGTGCTGGAAAAAGAAGACCAGAAGGTAAAATAAATGTAATTTGCTGCCTCATGCCTCTCTGATAGATCTATGAAGAAAAACTTGAAGAATTTCTCCTCTATGGGACATTTTTTGAAGCCACAATGATTGATAGGAAGGTTGGGGACAAACCAATAATCTTTGAGGTTTCTGTCGGTAAGTGTTTTAAGCTCTTCTCTGAAGTAGTAAGGGGACACTGCATATTATTGATAACTGTGTCTCAGAGCTCAGGAGTCAGCTTCAAATAAAACTTACACGTTTGAATTAAGCTGTGAACATCATTTTTCTGGATAGTGCCATGTTTCTTCTAGTCAAGCTGGTTTAGCTGTCTTTAGTCCCAGGCAACCCTTATATTAATATAAACCATCTTGCCCAGTGCACAGCTACTCAAACAGTATTTAGCCTTGTAATCTCCTGGGAGATCCAACTTGAACAGTTTTTCCTCAGAGTGGGAGTCACTCAGCAATGCCCATTGCAACCCGTCCCTAGCACTGATGAAGCCCTCTTTGCCCAGTCCTGTTGATGTATAGACATAAGTACATGAGTACATGGCGCAGGGGTGGTAGACAACCAAGCCTGAAAATGTACATACCAGCACGACTTCTAACATCCTCCTGGTAAATACTGTCCTCTATGTGTATAAAGCAGAACTGTCCAGTGAAGGGTCCTTCCCGTGGCGGGCTGAATTGCCCTTGAGAGTAGACTAAAGAGAAAGCAAAAGCTTTTCCATAAGCATCGACTATTTTCAAAGCAGATGAAATTTCCCTGGAGAGAGAAGTGTTAAATGACATTATTTCCCTTGCAGGGTTTTGTTCATCTCTGTATTAGCTCCACTGGAGCCCAAGTACACAATAGCCTTCTGGCACTTGCTGCCTTTGCGTCTGTGAACCTAGGTGCATTTGGTGGTGGTGGTGGGCTGGGTGTAGAGATGTCTCCAAGACAAACACAGGTCAATGAATGGTCCCGCTGCACACTGAGACCTCAGTGAGAAGCAAGGCTGGAAGAGCAAGAAACTCATTTGTATACTGGGGAATTAATGATGCTTATGGAATTAATATTGAAGATGAGTCTGGCTCTGAGCTCTGGACCTGAACATCTATGGGCTTCCTCTGGGCCACAGTTGAAATTTGTGTCCATTATTTGCACAAAGGGCTGAATTAAAATTGAGATGAGGTTTGTGTATGGAGTGATTGAGCATATCCCACTTCCCCTGCAAGTGTTTTTTGCCTAACTCTGCCAATTATACCATCTATAATTGCCAGTCTAATGGATGCACCTCTTTCATAGTGCATTTTAAAGCATACTGCTATGAGAGAAGATAGCTATACTGTTAGCAGCACTATCCAGCCCCGGACATGAAGTTGTGTCCTCAAAGTGTTGCTATTAGTAAAGGCTCCTCTGCAACCCTGCTGTGCTAAATTTGCTTGGCTGTAAGCAAATGTTAGCACTTCTGAGACCAGATTTTTAATGTTGTAAAAAAAAAGAGAAACAACTGCTATTTAAGTCAAACACACATAGGGACTCCCAGTTCTAGAAATACCAGGAATTCCTCTGGCAAGCAACAGAAGCAAGTTTTCCTCTAGCAATTCCTCTAGCAAGCAGCATGGTCTTCCTGGGGCCACCAATGAGAGGATCACATTGCTTAGCCACAAGAGCAGAAGTCACAACTGACTTAGCCAGGCTTGGTATTATGGCTGGACTCAAACATCTTCAAGGTCTTTTTAAGCCTCGTGGAGGTTTGTCAGCTCCTATTCATTCATCCTGTCTTTGGTAACTCCGCACCTCCAGGCAACTTTGGAAATATTACTGAGGGAGCAGGAGCTGGAGGAAAAAAGAAGGCACGTGATGACAGAGAAGGGGAAGAAAATGCCCCTCTGCTCCATGACGGGGAGGATGAAATTTCCTGTGACCTTGGAGTGCCCCTGATATCCACCACACACCCTGAGAAGCCACTGGTCACAGATGGCAACAGGTGAGGAGCTGCGTTTCGAAGCCTCATTGTGCAGAAAATTCAAACATGGATTTTTGTTTAGACTCTGAACCTTCACAGTTAAAAAATGTTTTTGTCCTTTCCTGCAATAAATGGTTCAGTCAAATTACATAAGAATTAGTGAAACAAAACACGAATGAAAATACCATGGTAGAAATTTGCATTTCTGCAGCAATTGTTGCCTCTCCTCATTAACAATACTGCAGATTTGGGTACATGCTGGTTTATTATCCTCCATGGCAGACTACAGGATTTTTAGTTTTTCCCTTAACAAGAATTTAAACTTAAAGAACTGTTGTAAAAGAATGAATCATTCTTCAACCATGCAATTTGCTTTTTGGCTCACTCCAGTATTAACAAAGCTTTCCCTCATTACAGACTCATTTTATGGAGATGTAAAATGTTTTTTTCACCCTCTTGTGCTGTCTGTAACTGTTTGGCCAGTCAAAGATATCACTGAGTGACTTTATGACCATCACTTTATATTGAAATACTATTAGTCTCACCACTGACTTTGTTAACATTAATCATTAATTACCCCATTAATGGGGTATCCAGTAGATTAAATAAACACGACATTTTCCAGTAAGTGAATGGTAGAAAAGAATATCAGAGCTCATTTTGAAGATTAAAGCCACTAGGTAATTAAAAGAACAGGCAGAAAAATAAGACTACCAAAACAACACTGTGAAATTGCTAGGGATTTTCTTCCCATTTATATCAAAATATATATCAAGGATAAACTAACAATAACAACAACAAAAATAGTCACTACCAAATCTCTTGGAGGGAATGATAGGAAAACTCAATCCTTATGAGCTACTTCACAACCATATTGTTTCCTCAGTAACAAATCCCATGACAGGACTTGGGAGCTCTTTGAAGTCCTGACAGTGGGCAATTGTTGGATTGTTCTTCCCTACTATGAAACCACTGAATGTATGATTGCCCAAGACCTGTGTGGTGATACTACTCACAGAATTTAATGCATAATGGGGGTTATTAATTCACAGCTTTGCTGTGGATTACTGAGGAGAAAGTAGGTAGGAAATTCTATTTCTCTTTTGATATCCCATAGGATGATCAAATGAGGTTGTAGAGAAGACCTCTGTCTATTTCAAAAAACAACAAGGACAACAAAAAAACTGCTTTTCAAGTCTACTTCAAAAATCTACTTTCACTGGAAACATGAAAGTCAGGAGTTATGTCTAGGGTTGTCAATAGTGACAAGTAATTTGGTCTCTCTGGGGTTCATTCAGTGGTTGCCCAGTTTTATTTGAAATGACCTAGGTTATCTGAGGCATCTGTATGAGTAGATATGACACAGGACTATTGCTTCCCACCCATAACACCACATTTCAGAGCTTCTCTGCATGTCTCTCTTCTTGTTTTTTTGCCCACCCTGGGAAGTGCTAGCATTAGATCCACTGGTTCCCAGCTTATCGTCTTCAGGAGAGTCACAGGTAGTGTAATTGATACTTCTCATGTATTTACTTGACAGCAAGTGTGAACACATCCTGTGGCATCTGTGCTTTGAGAGTACATCAAGCATTTTTTCCTCCTGTGAACACATCCTGCGGCATCTTCAGTTTCTGTGCCTTGAGAGTACATCAAGCATTTTTTCCTCTAGTGCATCCTCCAAACGCCTTACTCCTATGCTCTGCTCCATACTTTATTTTCACAGGAACTATCAGTACCTCCCATATGATGAGAGGAAGCCCTGTATCTGTGTCAAGAGCTGCTGGGGAGACCAGACCTTTCGTTTGTATGCTTCCAACACTCTGGAGAAAATGGCAGATCACTTGGTAAGCTGCAAGCATTTTCTAAGGCTCAGATATTTGGCAGAGAATGCCAGTAAGAGGTCATGTTCTCCAAAATGTGCCTTCAAAACTTCCCCGCACTATTCTCCTCCTTATTCAGTTTGTGAAAATGCAGCAGGTATCAGTCCCTTCTTTTTTTTTTTTGGTTTTTTTTTGTTTGTTTGTTTTCAAAACTGATTTGGTCACTTGGAGCTAGTCAGATATTTCTGAACACACTTTTTGAGGGATTTCTCTTTTTTTTGCTATAGGACTGTCTCCTTAAAAATATTTTATTCAATGTAAGAACACAAAACATTTAAAAGGTGTCATTTAGAATTGTTCTGTTTCCAATGGCCTGCCTCTGGCACCTACTGACCAATTTATCATGTGCTTAGGCTGTAGACACTTTCAGGGATATTTTTGCTTTTATTTTTTCTAAAAAAACATTGATAGATACCAAATCCTGTGTAGTCTCATGAACAGCAGTACTGAAATCATAGTGATGAGAGTTTGAATCATAAGAACAAGTGGCTTATAGATCAATATTTTAAATCAGAATGACTGAAACTTAAGCATCTGAATACATACAGAAAGACATATTTGATAGAGAGAGACATATATTTGTCAATGTATGGGAACACCCACAGGTCTTGCTGGAAATCCAGCCACTTATTCAAGTAAATGAGAACAGACTCCAGTTCTCAACGATGGCAGCAGGTGTTGGGGTGCCTGCATTCAGATGCTCAATAAATTTTCAGAAGTTACAGAAGAAGCTTGCTAAAGCAAGCAACAGGGCTGTAAACAAAACCAAGAATTATAGAGTTCCATTTCTCTAGCAGAGAATGTTTCGCATTCACTTGAAAGAAGTATAAAGAACCAGAGCTGCTCCAGCAGTAGCTGGAGAACCTCAGCAAAGGTCAGTGCAGTGAGAATCTTCTCCTTGTGCGCTTCAAGCTTAGTGATGTTTCAAAGGTCCTGTTTTCTCAAGTTCTTTCTAGTCATACAATGAATAATGATATTCTAACACAGGCAGAATGATAAAGTGTCCTCCTTTATGGAACATCTTTTTCTCATCTTTTTCTCAGGAAGAGTCATTAGAACAAATAAAAGACTTGATCAAAGTTTCAGAGATTGCGCCTGAAGAGAAAATGAGGAAGACCATAAGTGATTTTATTAATCAAAGCAGGTAACTGTATTTACCAGAAGCACATAGAAAACCAACTTCATATATTGCCTACAAATTCCAGGCTAGACTAGGAAGCTGGTGGTGGTAAAAGAAACATAGCTAGATAATTGAGATTTTAATTCCAGTATAAAATCAAAGGGCTTCCTAATCCGCAGTATCTATCTACATAGGGAAAATATTTTGCTATCATTTTCAATATTCAGTAATGGCAATAGAAAACTGCCAATCATTAGATTATTATTTTGGGTTTCTGGACTCTAAGAATACAGTGTATGTGGGAATAAGTTGAAAGTAATAAACTGTGTGACAGACATACTGTAAAAATATGCTGAGCTAAAATAAAATCAACGGATCTCCCACGCTGGGATAACCCTTCTGTGGACTCTGTGACAGGTGTCATGAGTGGGCTCAAAATAGGTAGAGATTCTAGTTTATAGGTATGAGCCTTGTTTTATAGAACATGGTACAGAGTGGTTTTTTCACTCTTTTCTTTGACTCGCAGATAGGTGTGCAATATTTATTGTAGCCAGAGGATTTCAGCATCTCTGTCTTCTGGTTCATTTAATGCAGCAGATAGGGAGCATTTCATTCTACTGTATCCTACCAGAAATAATTCACACAAAGAATCTGCTATTGTGTCCTAGGGCCTTCATTAGCAATGCTGAAAGGAAGCCCAAGGGGTTGAACTACACTGCTTTGGATAAAAAGAGACTCATGCTGTTCAAGCAAGAGCTGGTATGGATGCTTTTTCTTCAGACATTGGTGCAGTGATGTTAACTGAAAATGCACTGGCTGTATACATGTTAAGTTGCGTTTGCTTTGTAATTAGTATGCATAAGTATCCAAGAGCACTTTTAAAAATAAAGTCTGCTTTTTGTGAGGAAGCGTTTTAAGATACCCTGAAATAATTCAGACCTTCTTCTTCTGTAGTACAAATAAGAAACTATAATAATGAGTTGTTCTTCTTTTTGATGTATCTCATAATAGGATGATGTTGGTTTCACTGGAATGCCCAATTAACACTGTTGTTAGGCATTTATCTACCGAGGAGGAGCTAAATTCCAAGACTAGTAGAATCTGGTGTTTGGTATTCCTGAACACAGAAAAATGCACACATAGATTTCAGTACATTTTTGTGTGCTCTGGTTTGGGTCTGTTCTTTATTTACACATTATTAAGCTTCCCTTACAACACTCTGGTACATTATCCATAGACACGAGCATAAATGAGATACGTAAGGATCTGGATTAGACTAAACATAGCAGTGCAAAGGAGGAATTATGACACTATGTGTCTTTCTTTTTTCTTTTTAAGATTATGTGTGTCTGTCTGTTACCTATCAAGGCATGTCAAGGCCCTATAACTCTAGGTAGTAATCATGCATCTCTTGAGGCTTACAAAGTACATACAGACAAAAGGAAGGTGGGGGCATTTAGCTCCTAAGAGTTAATTCCTTTCAGTTGTGACAAAAGATAATCATTACCTTGAACTGAGTCTCTCTCTCTTTTTTTTAACTTGAATTTTGAACTGTTTTCTCCTTCTATGTACAGTATAAACTACATGCTAATGCATAAAAAATACATGTTGTCTTTCCTGGTTGCAGGAAGCAATGTCCAGTGATGCTGAGGAGATTGTTCAGCAGCAGAAAAAGAAGGTGTCACTGGAGGAAATGATGCGTGAGACTCAGATATTTATAGATAAAATTCGATTCTTAGTTGATGAGGTAAATCACACAGAAATTCAAATAAGTTTAAAATTTAGGATTAGCCTTTCGTTTAATCATAATCCCATGTGAATAACAAGTCATGACCTAATTACCTAAAGAGATATCCTTTGGATATCTAGCCCAAAATCCAGCTGGTCAAGTGTTCATTCCCTGAGATTGGTCTGCTGGTAAATCTAGGCACTGTGTTTGTTCTAGTAAGCTAAACAAAGCTATGCTATTCCCTGTCTTAGGGAGCAAGTGGTCTAGTTTGCATCCTTTGGCCAAACTCTTTTCCTTCCCAAAACAGAATGGCCTTGTCCATAGGGCCTCCTGGGAACAGCCCTGGGCCAACACTTTGCTTCAAAGCACACTCAGGTTTTTCTTGGGAAATGCTTTTAGGAGCAGGGCATAGCCATGACATGGAGCATCCTAACAGGTGGAACTGTATGCCAGCACCTGAGTTCGTCCCTCGTTCCTTTTGATTTGCTGATATAAATGGAGCTGGTGATGTTTCTCCAGGTGGTACTTCCAGCTTCCACACTCTGTGGCTAAGGGACATCCCGAGCCAGGGTCACATATAGGTTTCTAGTTTTAATTTCTGCTGAAATGCAATCCCCCAGAGTACCACTCCTTGGGCACCCACAGAAAGCACTTGTCTTTGCCTAGGGCTGGAGGTTTGTACTGATTTTGCTAGTTCTGGTTTGCTAGTTCAATACTCCCTGTCATTTAATAGCCGCAGAACACGGTGCCCGACGTGTTCATCTGGATGCTCAGCAACAACAAAAGAGTCGCATATGCGAGAGTCCCAGCGAAAAGCATCCTCTACTCCCCTGTGAGAGAGCAAAGGGGCAAGGACTGCAGCAAGATTAAAACCCATTTCCTGAAAGTAAGTCTGGGACATCCTCCGAGCATGGGTCAATGGAAAAACTCAGTATTTGTGTTCAACTCAGGAGCTGGATTTTACATGTTAGTCTTTGTAATGTACTAAAACATATACATGCTTATATCTACCATCTATTGCCAATGCTTATTTCCTCTATTTATGTTTATCCTTTTTTAACCGTGATACCATGCCAAGGCTCTTGGTGCCTGAGTGATTCATTCGTTTGCTGTTTGTTATAGCTAGATCTGTAGTTTGTCTGTCTGTATGTATATATATATGCACGCGCACGCACACACACATAAACAGACAGAAAACCACAGCCCCTTTCGTGACAAAGCCACCAGAAAGCAGCACGTAGCCCAGGGGGAACTTGTTAGAAGATGAGGATTATATTCAACACAGATAGCAAAGAAACATAGATAGTCAGAAATACTAAACCCATTTATGCCTGCTACTTGAAGTCTGTTTAGGTGTTTGTAGCATATATCCACAATATTGCATAATATTACTTACTTTGTAGGACAGTTTTAGCGGACATCATACTCCTACAAAGGCAATATGACCTGCAGTATCCAGCAGTGAAATATTACGCAAGGGAATTTTTACTATGATCAGAAGGAAAAATCTGATCATATTAAGCAATAGTAATGTCTATTAGGCAATAGTGATGTCATATAGTATTTTTTTAGCAACTTTTCCTCTGGACTGGTTGGGAGCACTCCCATAAGCACAGCTGAAGAGCAGATAGTAATACCTAAACTCTTGGAAACTGGTCATGGGTGTTGTTAAGCAGGGTAGTCTTTGCTTGCATAAGCAAAAAAAACAAAACTGGAAAACTTGTAATTCACTCTCCAGTCATGTCAATATCAGTAATTGCTTTAGGAATAGATAGTATAAAACAGTGAGTTAAGCAGACCTGGATTAGTTAGAGAAGAAAAAAATACTATTAGTATTTTGTGTCAAGATTAGTAATAGTTAATATTGGAATATATTTTCTGACCTGTCCCATGAAATTTTCAGTGGTGGCCACCGACAGAACTAGAGGAAACGGCCGGAAACTGAAGCATCAAAAGATCCACAGAAACTTAAGGAAAAATTTCTTCACAGTGAGGGCGACAGAGCCCTGGAACAGGCTGCCCAGAGAGGTTGTGGAGTCTCCTTCTCTGGAGATCTTCAAAACCTGCTTGGACGCAGTCCTGTTCCACGTGCTCTAGGTGACCCTGCGTGTGCAGGGGGATTGGACTAGATGACCTCTAGAGGTCCCTTCCAGCCTTAAGCATTCTGTGATGCTATGAAATAGTATTTTTAGTAGTACACAGGACCAACTCTCAGAGACCAGCAAAACTTCATGAAATGTAAAGTGCCCCAAAGTCTGAGGAAAGCAGTATATCAAACAGCACTGACATGCTGGCAGCTGTTAACTAGTTTGCACAAACTTGTGCATACTAGCTAACACACCTTTTACACAGGCTTTCAGCTGAGCCAATTAGTCATTACTTCCCAAAGAGGTTTCAGGGCCACCTGCCTTGGAGACATGCCATTTATCAGTTTACCAACTCCATAAATGCTCCTTTATTTTAGTAGCCTACTGTGCAGGACTCAGCATTGTCATCCCTCTTTATGGGTGTTCTTTCCTCAGTTGCCAGGCAAACGTCCACCAGGCTGGAATGTGCAAGCAAAAGTAGACACCTACCTGTGGCTTGGACCTGCTAGATATGCCCAGAGCATCATGGAGAACTTGCCTGTGGGATATCAGCCAGAAACACCATCCAACACCAGCCCAGGGCACAGCACGGTACATCCCCCTGCCTGCCTACTGTATAAAAGTAAGACCATGTTTATTCTGTGTAGTAGCAATGTCAGAAGGGTTGTAGGAAACACGTGGCCTAAATACCTCTAGTTTTGAGGGGTGCAAGACCTTTGCTAAAAGTAGCTGTTTTAAGATGATCGCTGTTTAGCATCATCGCATCACAAAAGGCCAGTTTCATTGCTGAGTCCCCAGTCCTGTCATTGACAGAAAAAGAAACTGGAAAGGAATTTTATATTTTCTGTTTCCCATCCCATGGTTCTGTCTTCTCGCCATGAGGAGGCATCCCTCAGGTCTCCTGATGGAGCTACCTTGATGAATATCTAGTAGATAGACACGTGATGGAAGATAAAAGCTGACAATTAACAGTCTCGCAGTAAAGACTTTCCTCAGCTATTGATTTTAAGTGCACACAGCAGGCTCACCTCTGAATGTATCAAGTATTTCATTAGCAAAATGGTGCTTGAAACATTTGCCAGGCCCCTGGTTGGACGGCGGGTGGTCAAGCTCCCCCTCTTGCATAGGTGCTGTGTCATTTCCATGAGCTGACACTGCTGTTTTCATTGCAATGACGTAGCCCCGCACCTCTTCCAGCTGAGAGCCCACATGTACCAGGCGCGGGGGCTCATTGCAGCTGACAGCACTGGACTCTCCGACCCCTTTGCAAAAGTTACTTTCACGTCACACTGCCAGACCACGAAGGTAAGCTGCACAGCCCCCTTCAGTAAATGAAAACAGCTTTCTCAAGCAAGCTGTGAAAAGGAAAGATGTTGGTTTTGTGAGGAAACACCTAGCAAGCAAAGTCAGATGCCTCCTTTTAAAGAGCAACTCCTGACAGGCCACTGTGAGCGAGGAAATTGTGTGAGTGCAGTCGGCTACTCTACTGCGAGGTGCTGTAGAGCTGTTCAGCTCAGCTCCTTCAGATGTCAGGTTCCCTAGGTCTATTGGTCTCCTGTAGAAAGTAAATTACCTTTCTCTCCACCTATTTCTTTTGAGTTTGTGCCATTTTCATTGTTTGGTATGAGGATGATCCCCCATAGTTTTTTTTTACTATCATCTGTATGTGCAATCATAGCGGAAAGGAAGTAGAAGAGCTTCAGGGTGGGTAAAGTTGAATTGACCTGAAGGTGTAGTGAGGGATCTGCATCTCCTAAATGCTGCAGAAGGGTGATCTTCTTGAGCATTCCTATTAAATGCATTGCAGTGTCTGTGGTGCACTAAGGAGCTCATCATCAGAGGCCGGTGGAGTTGCACAAGCGTGAAAAGGCATCTTTTAGCTCTGTGGCACCTCAAATTTGCCGATCTTTTGCAAGATGGAAAGATCTGACCTAGAACACAACCCAGCTGTATTTTCTGAGCTGTCGTCACTGTCCTTCTAGGCTGATCTCTAACACCTGCTGTTTGGCAGAAAGTTCTGCAGCGCATATTTGGGGAGGGAGAAGCAATAAACTTTCTCTGCTGGAAGCTGTAGGTGCTTGACTGCTGCTTTTACCTTGAGAGAATGAACTGATGCTTTTCCTCCTGGCATCTAATAATGCTGGTGAATAAAACTAATGAAGTTAGTGCTTAGATGCACCAGATTCAGGAAAGCAGAATGTGGTTCAGGATGACAGCATTTAATAGGCATGAAAGTGTGAAGTTTATTCACTGCCTGAGTAAAATACTGCAGGCAGTAACTTGCATGTTTTTAGAAGACTGTCAGCCAAGTGACAATAAACCATAGTGAAAAGCCTTATTTCCATTGAAAAAAAATGCTATGAAATGTTATGAGCCATTTTACAATTGCATATTTTTTTCCTTTTTAAATGTTATCTTAATTTAAAATATTTCCTGCCAAGGCAGTTCGAACATTATCTGTGATGCAATTCCATAAGCATCCTAGTAAGTTAAAGCACAGGAGACTAAAAAATAGTGATTTATTATGAGTGATTCATTAAAATATCATGTTTTTTATAAAAGCATATGTGTTGTTATATTGAGGAAAAAAATAAATTCAAAGAAATGTACTCTGGAGAAGTGATAATTGAAATCAGTTTTGAGCAAGGCCTTTATTTAACAGCTTTGGGCCTGACCTTGCTTTTCTAAACCAACAGCTTTCCTCCTGATTTAATTCAGAGTCTTCCTACACAAAAAGTGTAGGTCACATGGTGAAATGTTTGTGATGAGACCACAAGGCAAAGAGGGAACTTGAGAACAAAAACCTTTGGGAAGAACCGGAGATACAGACATCAAGGCAAATCAACCATATTCTTTTGGGTGGGAATAGCTGCTGAAAAATACAGTGTCTCAGACACCTGAGTTGTTCAGGCCATGGGAAAGATGTCACCAGCATGTCAGCATGTCATGCTGAACCAACTCCAACCAATCTATAGCATATTCAACTTTTCCTCTTTTCCATTAGATCATTCCTCAGACGTTATCCCCTACCTGGAACCAGATGCTGCTCTTCAACAACGTTGTGCTTTATGGTGACAGAGAGGAAATCACTCAGTTCCCCCCTGAGATTGTCATAGAGCTATACGATGACGACGCAGTGGTAAACTTGAAATCCTTCTGTTTCGCCTTATCAACAGCTTAAAGGCAAAGCTGTGTCACTGAATAGGCATTTAAAAAAAAAAAAAAAAAACAAGCAATCTGGATGACCTTCCTGAATAGAGCTCAATGTTACAACAGTTTGCAGCTGAATATAGTTCTAAGGCTAAATATTCTTGCAGAGCTGTGGCCTTGTCTTTCCCAAGTGAATGCATCCCCAGCCAGATTTAAAGAAATTAGAAACATCTTTTCCTCTCCCAATATACAGCTGTAAATATTGTATGTATATGTCTGGGGAGACCTTGATTTATCTCTGGCCATGCCATCTGACACATCTCACTAGTTTAGTGTAGTGCTCAGAAACTTTGGATGACTGAAAAGATAAAAAAGGACTCAGCAGCTCCATTTGCATAGCTGCCATTACATTTTATGTTGCCATTTACCTTAGGGGAAGGTTTTTGGCACAAATACTAAACTCTGCATTGTCTTGACTCTCGAGAGAGCTGTTAAATTCAAAGACTTTATGCATGTATTCTCCTTTATCTAGGGTAAAGCAGAGTATATTGGATCTACAGTGGCTGCCCCTGTGGTGAAACTGGCTGATCAAAAGTATGAACCACCTAAACTTTCTTACCACCCGGTGTATTGTGGAAGCCTTTCTGGGGGAGACCTACTTGCTACGTTTGAGCTTCTGGAGGTAAATTAAATTTTCTGGACTGTTAGTTCTCTCCTTGAGGACTCTTATGTTATGTGCTCCTAAAACTAGCCATGGTATTGAGGACACCACCCTCTCAAACTGGTAGGAGTTGCAACCAGAGCAACATGGTTTTGCTGTTGCACTCTGTGATTGTAGCTCCTCCTACGCTGGGGCTGCAAGCTTCCTTCTACTGCAAACCTGCAGAAGTTTATTCTGAAATCTGGAATGAGGAAAATGTGGAGCTCTGTGACGTCATCAAAAAGGTATTTCTGAGGTAAAATGGACTTTTAAACACCATGGGCTTATTAGATGCTATGGAAATATGACACCATGCAGAGCCTGTCTTCATAGAGGCCTGTACCTAAGGATAGTCAATTACCTTAACCATTATTTTCCCTTCTTTTTTTAACTGAAATCCACCTTTCCAGTGAACAATGAAAACGTTCTATTTTGTGATGTTGTCTTATAAGATGAGGGAAGCAGAGCAACTTCTGGGATATAGCTAAATATATCTCTAAGGCTGCACTAGGGAGTTGAAAATAACTAAGTAAAGACCTTGCAGTCTTAATTTTCCTGCTCTGTATTATTCTTCCTAGTGACAGCACTTTAGGGCACCTCTCCCAACAGATAATAGCAACACAGACTTAAAGGAAACTTCAGGAAAAGGCACATTAAAACACCTACAAGGTTTCCAAGCACTCAAAACTGTGGTCCAAGTCGCACCTTCCAGTATCAGGGGATTCCTGATGATGCTCTGTGTCAGGATGGAAATGAAAATCTCTAATCATTAATTCATTCTTCTCTTTTACTCTTCTTTTAACCCCTTAACTGCATCTGCTATAACCCTTTATGCACTCAGTAGTTCAGATCTGCAGATATCCCTTGGTGTAGTTAAAGAAGCAGTGTGCACGAAGTGTTTCGTCAAGGTAACACTGGTATGCTGGGTCACTGCTAAAAGCTAAACTGATGTATATAATGAAGCAGCCCGTAATTTATAAAAATAATAGATTAAGACAAGACCAATTAATGGGTACCGGGAGCCTTGATATTTGGCTCAGAGATGCTCAAGATTTGCTGAAAATCCAGGGCATCTAGATTTGATATCAATAGTACATGACCGTTTGTCATGGTCTGGACAGGGTTTACAGTTTGGGAGTTCAGGGGGACTCTTGTAGTATTAAAACAACAACAACAACAACTAATCTTTATGTGGCTATTTTATCCTCAGATATGAGATTTCTCCAGCTTTCCTCTTTTAAATTTTGCCCCTGTTATTATATGTTCCCATGTTCCCAAGCTGTAAGAAAAGAGACAAATAGCTATTTGTTTTCTAGTTTTAAAAAAAGATATGATAAATTTAACAATTTAGGAATTACTTGTGCATAAATCACTTTATTTATCTTCATTAGCTAAGTCAGAAAACACATTAATATTGAGAATCCTGAGAGAGAAACTGAGATACATCATCTGCCACGAGATCTGGTTCAGATGGTATTTGCCCCCTTATCCATTTATTTATTTATTTATTTTTCAAAGGGTAAGTTAATCTATTATATTTTTTGAGTATTTAATGTTCCTTAATGTGGAATTTAAAAAGGGTTAATATAATTAAAGCCAGATGTATTTCCTCACAGAAAGGTAGGATTCCCAAAACTGCATGTTTCTGTTCATTTTCAGAACAGCATTGCAAAGGTGGCTGATAGAAACCAGACACATTGGTGGAACAAAACTAGATCTATCACAATCATTTTCCTTAGAAACATATTTCTTTTTGATTAGAAATATGCATTAGATAGAAGAAAAAAACTTGGAATGGATAGAAATGCTTCATTACTGGAACTCAAAGGGAAGATCTAACAGTGAGCAGGGCCATCTACATCACTCCTATTAGCAACTGGATAATGAGCTAGTGTTCAGATGCTAAGGGAGATATCTTCATTGAAGATGATGATAATATTCAGTCTCAGGTCTGTAAATGCCTGAGCTTCTAAGAGATTTCAGACAGGTAATTAAGATAAGTTCATCTGAACTATACAACAATTTCTACATGTGAAATTTCTAAAAAGGTTTATTTTTAATTTATAATTATTTATAATCCCACATTTAAAAAAAAAAAAAAAAA